CTTTTTTGCATTTCATCGTCATTACAGCAGGATTTCGCTGTCGGCGATTTTCACAAAACGTTGGTGTCCTCGACAACTAAACAGTGAACACTAAACTTGCAAGTTCATCTGTTCTTTGTGATTCAGCACATTGTTAGTCAGGTCGTCGACCTGCTTTTTGACTGCACCCCCAAGCTGTAGTTTCTTTTTATGAAAACAAGTATCAGCAGGGCCATTTAGTAGACAACCGTAGACATCCATAATCTTTCCCTGGCATCATTTCAGTCGTTTCGCCGCCAAACTTGGCCGAACGAAGGATATGATCAGATAAACGCGTTCATAAAAACGTCCAGAATTTAGGCTCGTAACTATATGTCGCAGTTCTCAAGGTAGCCCGTTACCACTGTATCATTGGTTCTGTACCACAAGGGATGCACTTATATCACAAAACTAAGCAAAAACGACATAACACACCAACACAGCCAAGAGCCCGCCAAAACTGAAAAACAATCAGATTGAAGCCACCACATGGTGCCGCGTGTGTCAGCGCCCCTCACGTGCACTGCAGAGAAGCAATACCTGCAGAGCTCGCTTACGCAAGTGTGGCCTTTCTGCAGTGCACCCGTGCTCGGTAAGAAACTTGCTAAACGAGGCTAACACGCTGCGATCAACGCTTCAAAAAATATGTATATCCTAGTTCATTTTAAAGCAAATATTGAATAATGTGTTATTCAAAACTACTATTCGAAAATTTGAATATTTGCACAACACTACGTCTATCTTCTATCTTTCAAAGAAAACAAATAGAAGTGCGTGATCATTTAATCTTGATCTATCCTTTTCATTGTACCTCTGAAAGGCTGAGAACAATAGCAGACCTTCGTTACGCGGGCACTTTCTTGAACTGTAATGCCTGATGACGGTTAGCAGTAACTGTCTACATTTCACTGAATGAAACTGATACGGTATAATGAAGCTGTTTTCGTGCCTATTTAAACCTAGAGCAAACCAAATGTTGTGACATGTGACTGATGTTCAGTAGAACCTTATTGACAAGTTTTTCCAGATGTTAGGGTCACACATGGTGGTCCCGTTGAAGTTCCCATAGCGCTACTATATTTAAGTTCCCATCCCTTGCATTGCAATGGAAGGGGCTTCTAGGTTGTTACGCTTACAGCATTGTGCAGTTCAGAACTTATTTGCTTCTGAACCACACAATGTGTAACCATCCACATGCCCTCCAAGGAAAAATAAAGAACTCTTGGATCCTCAAAAGGGCTACACAAGGAGCTCTTCTATTGACCTAGAAGGCAGACTTCATTTCATCTCTCTCCGAGCCTCATATTCCCACTCATTTTATTTCATAGAGCACACAGTGCATACAACCTGTCCCCTCCACTAGTTCTGTTTTGAGCTAGTACAAACTGGAGCTTAAAGGGCAACTCCGCTTCATTTTCCATGCTGAAAAAACAACGCAGTTCTCTTTAGTATCACCTAGAAAGACTACACCTCAAGTTTTACGATGTAATTAAGCCTAAAAGTTTGTTAAACTGGTAAACAAAGTTTGAGATGCCTCAAGTCTCCGAAATCTGCTAATTCTAGTGGCCGATGTGCGGCGCAGAGAACAGCGCAGTCAATACCGCGTGTTGGCGCAGCCAACACTGCGCCGCACGTCATAGTCTGGGACTGCTTTTTTTCTTGTTTTTTACTTTATTGAGGCGCAGCCTACAGGCGGCGCCAGCAGCGTGCATACCGATGTCCACGTGATCCAAAACAAGCATGCGCTGATGAGCGTCTGAGCGAGCGCTCCGCGCTCGTCGTCGGGAAGACCGAACCTGCTGCGTCTCGGAGCAACGTTTTGTGCTGCGATGCCTGGCATATTACGAGTGGTTTACTTAACTTCAACTACTAATGGTTCCAAAACATAACTTTAAAACAACTTGCCTTTCTCTGCGTCAAAACACTCTGTGGCCGCGGTAGTGCACACGTCGTTGGCTAGCAGAGACCGTGGAGCAGACGACACGGCGCGACGACGCTTGCTCCGTCGATCCGTCCGTCCGCGCGGTCGGCGAGGTCGTGCGGTGACGTTCGTACCACGTGGGTTGTCCCAGACTATGACGACGCGGGACCAATGTTGCCAGGCGCGGGCGCAGTTTCGGTTTCGGTTCGTGATCAGGAGTAAAGAAGGATTACGAGAATTATATTTCCTTTTTTGAGAAACAAACGACGTCGAGCCGTTTATTAGTATACCTTAATGTATAATCAGCAAAAACCCAGAAATTCCTGGAATTGAGCGGAGTTGTCCTTTAAAGAGACACTGACACTTAAAAAAAAATTTATTTTTTTATTTTTTGCCAGGTGATTCTTTATGGTGTAAGAAGACTACCCAATCAATATTTTGCTACAGTGTAGCATATATTATTAATGAAGTCAAAAGACGCAACTGCTCAAAACTGAAACCGAAACTGGACTGGGGAGGAAGAAGAAATACAGACCTATCCAGCGGCAGTCTCGAACGAAGCGATTTTGAGAGGGTGCATCAGTGTTGCCCGACTGCGCTGGGCTGCGAGTTTTCTAGTCAGTGGGCTGTGGCAGCCTGCATAGGTGCACTTCCGGATGCTGGTGGAGGCTACATTGCTGCATTCTATTTTTTATTTCGTGTTCTATGGCAAATAGAATTTCTCGCAGTTTTAAAGAATGCATTGTACAGTCAAACCTCGATATATCGAACACGGATATATAGAATTATAGCCCATATCGAACGCTTTCTATATCACATGGAAAATCGCATGCATTTTTTATTTTTTATTTCGAACGGGGCCGGGCATAAAATGGATATATCGAACTCCGCCACCCCAAACAGCTTGCGCTCTTTTGACAGGCGGCAAGCTTCACCGCAACACCCTGGCGTTTCCGACTGCCTAAACACATGCCAAGGGCGCCATTTGAACGTAGCGGCGCACGCACGCCGCTGCCTGGATAGTTCGTTGCAACGTCAACGACGCACTGCATTTGCCGCACCGACTCCTCCTCCTCGGTATTATCGGTAGTGCTACGCGTGTGATCGTAGTTCTTGCGTGTGTCGTGTTGCCTTGCGTGAGTGATGGCTCCAAACGCTAAAAAACGGACATCCCTGACATTTGCTGCAAAACTGGAAGCTATCCAGCGGGTTGAAAGTGGAGAAAAAAAGTTGAGCATCGCCGAAGCTTTAGGCCTACCAAGAAGCACTTTGAGTACTCTACTGAAAAACAAGAGTGACATAAAGGCCAAGGCAGAACAGAACCAGGACTCAGACGCGCAGCGTGTACGCAAAGCTGCCTTTGAAGATTTTGAGAAGTCGCTGCACAAATAGTTCATCGACGCAAGGGCCCGGAATATTCCTGTATTCAGACCGATGTTACAACAGAAGGCCAAGAACTTTGCATTCATACTCAGCGCCGAGAACTTTGGCCCTTCTACACCGCTACTGCGGCGCAATAGAAGGCACGGGCCTATCGCTTGTTGATCGTTTAGACTATGTTGAGCACGCCTTAGTTAAACATGCCTTTGCCAAGAAGAAGCAGGCTATCCTGCAGCAGTACTTTCAGCCAAAATAAATACTTTGTTTGAAGCTTCAAGTGAGTATTTACTGCACCACGGTTGGTTCATTGATTGATTTGTACAGTGGTGTATTATTTTTTTTTCTTATTTTAATTCAGCCTTCGAGTGCGAGATTTCCCAGCTCCCGCAAGCTGAGCGGCACGGCGGCGCACCGTAGCAGACGACTGGCGGCTGCTCCCGCCTCTGCGGTCGGTCGGCGCGCATGTGCTGCCTGTCGGCGCTTCGCGGAGCGCGACGGCCACGAGCTTTTAACAAGTTTTTCACGCGTTTTTGACGTGGCTTAATATATTGAATTCTGGCTATATCGACCTATTTCGCCATCACCGCGCAGTTCGATATATACTGTACTATTTTTGGGAACAAAAACAAACAAACGAAAGCTGCTTTTGGTGAGTCTGTGCGCGACAGAACAAATGCAACTGGAATGTTTGTTTCATTTTATGTTGATCTTTTTACGGTGCCGTGCACTCACCCGTGTGAATCTACAAAGGTCTTAACCGTCAAAAATATTTGACCACACAGGATATCCGAACTGCGAGGATATTCCCCGCCCACAACATGAAATTCAACGAGTCTTATCAATCGAACAACATATATTGTACGTACCTCACGGAGCCTTGTTATCTAAACAGGGTTTGAGAAATGTCTCAAATAACACAGCCTATCCAATATACAACGTCGACAATAGTCACTTCACGACGATCGGACGGAATAGGCGTGTTTTGGGGCACATGTAGAAGAGAGCTGTTTCTTCCACAGCTTCAAAGCAAATAACCGAACGTGTCTATTCCGTCCCCACATCCCGGACCCGACCCTATCAGCTATTTTTCTCGAAGACCCGGAACATACACGGGAAGGCTTTTTGGAGATTATCTCAATGGAAATAATCCTCTAAGAGCGTCGAACTGCCCGCGTCACGGGCTGCTTGACGGTCGCTCTCTTCATTCGTTTTATCCGAAGGCCGAGCAGGCTACGAGCCCTGGTATTTCCTGGTTCTCGCAGTGGAAGATAACACACAAAGGGTAAGCACCCTAAACAGGCAAATAAAGTAAAAACTTCCAAGAAAAGCCCGCAAACTTTGAATGCACAACGCAGGTGGCCAGTCACGCTGACCATGTTTCCACAGCTCAGGCGGGTGGCAGAAATATCTGGCTGATAGGGTATGGAGGAGGAGAGGGTTGGCAAAAGCACGTGGCTGTGCAACTTCGTTTGTTTTTTTTCAATCAACGTATTTGCAGTTTTTTAGAAGCCACATAAAATGGGCATCAAATTTTTTCCCATTTTTATTATTGAGTGTGTGCCTTCGATGACCAACAACTTCGGTTATATTTGGTGGTTGCGCCTAAACCATACAAAATGGCATGTGACCATGGAGAAGAGAATGAGTGAGTAATTCTCAGAATGGAACTGCAAGAACTTACCATCCTTCACAACAACAGGAGTCGCCTCGTCTTTCTCCAGGTGGTCATGGGAAGAAGGGAGGCAGTGAGCGTCTTCACGATAGAAGTCCTCACAGGTCGAAAAAGCAGACCTGTCATCCAACTCTGTAAACAAATTGTAAAACAAAAATCCTATGTACAGTCGGGGACAAAAGTCTCCAGGACACGCGAGCTGCGACTGAAACGCATTGTTCTGCCATCTGCCGGCGGGCCACCTGGTTTCGAGATCACAGAAAAGCGCATGCGCGTCCTACTGTGCGTGCCAACATGTGCGTTTTCCCTCTCTTCTGCGGCGCGGCGCCTAATTCGGAATCGGGCGCGGGGTACCGCCTCGGAGATAGCGCTTACTGACATGGCACCTATAAAGCAAGAAGTCATGGCAGCTCAACTGAGCGATAAAATCAACTGATTATAAAGCAAGGTGCGCTGACACGGCGAAATACGGCGCAATGCCCCAGGCGATATCTCGTGTTTCAGAATGTGTAGCAGACGCTCGTCAGCCGCCAGCGCTATCTCCGAGGCGGTACCATGCGCCCGATTCCGAGTTAGGCGCTGTGCCGCAGAAGAGCGGGAAAGCGCACATGTTTGCAGACAGAGTAGGATGCGCATGCGCTTTCGTGTGGTCTCGAAACCAGGCGACCCGCCGGCAGATGGCAGAGCGATGCGTTTCAGCCGCAGCTCGCGTGTCCTGGAGACTTTTGTCCCCGACTGTACCTCAATCTCACGGATCTCAAGTGGGAGACACAGAGTGCACCGCGGAAAGACACATACCTTGTAACTTTGCAATTATCCTTATTAATTCATTCGAATTAATTAGTGAAAGGCTAAATTCCTTTGGACATTAATCCACTAAACTTAGCTGCAGTGTCACAAATTTTCCAAGACACTCTTTCGTAATTTTGCACCCACCTCATAAAAAATCACCCCTTGTTAAAACTGTATAAGAACCATGTACATATTCATGTGTGAAATAAACGGGTATAAAATTAACCATTCCTTAAGCTTTGTCTAACAATCATTCAAACTTTTACATTCATTTTTCTTTTTCTTTTTTTTGCGACATTATCTTTTTCAAAACATGAGAACACAACTTCTGCCTAAACTTCATCATGAAAGCACAACTAAAGGTTCTTGAAACCTCCTTGTCCATCGTCCTGAAAAAGTAACACCATAAACCTGCCTTTTGCCACGCTACCCAAGACCTTGAGTCAGAATAAAGCTGGCAAGCAAGCCTAACTGGAATCAGAAAAGCTTACCTTCTTTCACTGCAAAAGTATTATCCATCCCTCCCTCCAAGTGTAGTGGAAAGGAAGAAGCTCTGCCACAGTCCTCGGAATGCATGTCTTCACCCATTGGTGTGCCAAGAATCTCCTCAGGCTCTGTTGAGGAGGACGGCACGGAACAGAACTCTTGCGGCGAATCAAGTCGGATGCAGAGCCACGTTTAACTATCAAGATGTCAATTACACCACAGCCTTAAGGGGAGGCACTCCCTTGGAGGGTCTACTTTTTAAGTATTTGTGCCAGGTCAATGAAATTTTTAGGGTATTTTAAACGTCAAAACTTAGGAGGCTACACCAACTTTCAACCCAAAAGGTTTATTTTTTGACAAGTTACAGCCTTATTCATTGAAAAAAAATGTACATGTAGCAGTACCAAAGGAAAAAAACTATAGTTTCAAAATATGAATAAATAGGCACAATTTCTTTGTTGGGATATAACGCTGAATGACTAAACTAATCGGTAGTAGGCTTGAAATAATTTTTAATGCCATATTTCACGTAAAAATTAACTTTCAATAATGGTATGAATTTTTAATTTTTTTCCTGTTTCACAAACGTCAACATTTTTGTGTGAAGAAATAACAATTTGCAAAAGGTAAGCGCATAGCCGAGTTCTCCAGTAAATTTCATGCCAAAAAAGCCATACATTAGACTTGGGGGCGCTTAACTCATCGAACGATAGTTTTAGAGCTGTTAAAAAATGGTGAAAACATGAAGCTGAGAAAAAAGGGTTTGAAAGTTTGAACAGTGTTTTAGTTTAGATGGGGCTTGCCATTTCATCTAAAATGCTCCAGGGGCATATGTCACTCCTTCCTCTGCACGGTCCCTCTGTGCCTTGGCCACAGCTTCCATCTTCCTTTTTTTGTGGGACATCTTGGAGGACTCGAGCGCTTTCACTTGGGCCTTCGCAACCTTCATCTTGGTGGCCCTCTCTCCGTATGACGCTTGGTAGCTCCCTGGCTGTATGCTCATTTCCAACAGAGCTTCCTGATTCGCTAGGACGAGCCACGTGACGTGGCTCGTCCTAGCGAATCAGAGCTCTTGTTTTGCCAGCTTGACCATTAAGAGCGTGCACAGCTATGTTTTCTACGGGGTTTTACGGTATGTGAGCACGATATCGCGAACAATGCTGCGAACAGAACGAAAGAGGGCGAGACGCTCATTCCAACGAGGGGGGCCTGTCCATGCTAGTCCTAAGAAACGCGGAGGGAGCGTGCTTTAAAAATGGCACATTTTCGTAATCGGCCGCGTTGTCGGCGCGCACGTGCGGCCGCCAGCACTTCGAAAATAATTTATTTCGGAGTAAATACTTCACTTACAGGAATAAAATTTTTGGACAGCATTCTTTATGAGTTGTAAAAGCTGGTCAGCCTATTTTCCAAAAATGTGACTTTTTTGAAAAAATCGCGATCCCTAGGCCGTGCCTCCCCTTAAAAGGACGGCGCATTTCTACTTAAATTCCCTCGGCAGAAGCCTAACCATGCACAAAAGGCTACGGAAGTGTCAGCATGACATACCGAATAACCTGTATTGTAGACGAAGGCTGACAAGTAAGTGAGGGCCATCAGAAAGTCCCTTCGAAAGATGGATTGACGGAGGACAGCCCCATATGCAGCAAAGTGTCTATTGCCACAATAGGTCAAAGTTCTATGGTGGATGTCAAGAGAGCACCTTGACCATTACAGTGGTGTAACTGACAGGTGGTGATTTGGAAGCTGCTCTTGTTGCAGGGAAAAATGGGTTTTGGAGCAGAGATTCCCACTTTTGGAGCGGACAATTTTGAGCTTTCATGTTAGAAAATTTTATACAATCTCTTTAAAGGTTATTCCCGTGGAAAAAAACTGCAGTTGTTGGAGTGTTGGGAGACTATTTAAAATGCCATATCTACAGTGGACCTGGCCACTACAGATATTTTTTTTATTTATTGAACAATCATACGGCGTTAATTTTGTAGATGTCTAAATTACCCTATTAGGAGTACCGATGGCATCTTCGGTCTGTATTTGATATAAAAATATGTTTTTTAATACTTTGTAGGGTTTGTATCACGCTGCTCATTCATATTCCACCTGCTACTGTTTATAGAACAGTTAAGCGAAGCACATAGCTACTCTAACTGACCACGATAAATAGTGCTAGCTATTCATTGCAATCGATGATAGCACCGTTCGCACATACACCTATAACTTTTCGTTAGGTATGTGCAAATAATTAATTTTTGATTCGAAGTAAATTCAAAATGAATAGTGGTTTCGGCCAAATATTTTTTTAATTGAATATTGAATAGTTGCTGCACCTTTCTCCGCGCCTTTCACTACTGTTACACCATGCTAAAACAAAAATTCAGCTGAACTCACAAAGGTTGTTCCCAAGTTTCTAATTGCCCACTTATGAGCTCTTTTAAATTTAATCTAGCACCCTGGGCTCAGAAAACCCGATACCTACATTGGGATGGCATGTAAACGACAGATTTTACATAAAATTAAACCTATAAAGGGGCCCAGCCATACCTAATTGAGGGGAGTTATAAATATTTTTGCTATATACAAATATTTTTTTCAAATCTGAACTAAAATGAAAAAAAAAATATTGCAGAGCCCTTCTACTTCACATGAAGATGGAGGACCAGTGAAGCTGTTATTTTTACGACGTCTAGGACGATGCCTAGAGGACGACGTCAAGGACGACCTCAAGGACGACTTCTAGGACGACCTCGAGGACGACTTCTAGGAGGAACCCAAGGGCGACGTCTAGGATGACCTCAAGGACGACTTCTAGGACGACCTCGAGGACAAGGCCTAAAGGAAGACGCCTAGGACGACCTCTCGGATGACCTCAAGGACGACTTTTAGGACAACCTCAAGGACAACTTCTAGGATGACCTTGAGGACGACGCCTAGAGGACAACTTCTCGGACGACCTCAAGGACGACTTCTAGGATGACCTCGAGGATGACTTCTAGGAAGACCTCGAGGACGACGTGTAGGATGACCTCAAGGATGACTTCTAGGGCAACGCCTAGGACGACCTTTCGGATGACCTCAAGGACGACTTCTAGGACGACCTCAAGGACAATGCCTAGATATGGTAACAAGAGATCAGGACCTCACTATCTAATAATGCCAAGAAAGGGTGATTCACGCTGGTTGACCTTCATTTTATTTTTATTTATTCATACTTGCCACGACCGATGGAGAGTTTTCTGTCAACATCCGCGGACACATTTTTTTCCCAGATCCTAGCACATAACAGCTTCGCTGTGAGAAAGATTGCTGTCTAACATATAACCCTGCATAATAGCCACAGCTAAATTTGGAAGATTTTACTGCAATGTAAGTGTCAAAAATAACAATGTTTCCTGTCTGTTTCTTTCACGTTTGCTTTTAATACACGAGGTGCACATGCGCATCAGGCCACTCTGAAGGTGTGTTTTTCGTCTAAGCGCGCGGCTCCGGAAGCGAGTCGCAAGACCACTTCAGCTCCATGGGTATTGTTTCTCCACACTGCACTGGTGCTTGAGGAGAGGCGCACTCAAGGGGGCTCACCTGCCGCAACCAACACCTCGAAAAGCACAAATATCGCAGTTCATTTTGAAGAGAATACCAAATAGCGTATTATTTAAAATTACTATTTGAAAATTAGAATATTCGCACAACCCTACTCTTCGCACGTAGTATGTAGGCATCTGAAAATAAAAACAGGACTACTAACTTAATTTTCAGTGGCGTCGCCAACAATGTTACGTGCCAGACACTTACAGCTACTTTTCGAGAACAGCTCCCTTTTGGTGCAGACATGGCACAAATTGTGCACAAATACAGCCTTTGGAGTAGCATGTAGCAGGATGTTTGTCCTGGCGCAGTTTGGTGCAAATGGCACAGCAGTTCCACTACTGCCACTAAAAACAAAAATATTCTTTTACCAAGCTATGCCAACATGTTTTCATATAGTTCCAGCTGGAAACATGCAATGCCTCCTCCTGCTTCAATGACCAGTAGTCTATCATTGGTTCTGTAAAAACTGTGCGACGCTGTTGGCACAAACGTGCCTTCGGTGCTTTTTTGCATTTTACTCGACCGGAATGTTGGTGGGCACCAAACTCAAAAGCTTGAGTGACTGCCCTGGAGAGAGACTTTCCGTCACACTAGTTTTTATGGCAGCTGTTCAATTTTATGAGAAAACCAGAAAAAACTGTCGATCATCCGTTTGCGACAACAGTGTCGTATTGCGTGTGCAATCGAGAGAGAGGCTGGAGTGGTGATGCGAGAAAAGCTTGCCTTTTTTCACTACGACGGCGGCTGCTTCATCTACGTTCAGGTGCCCATGGGAAGGGGACAGTCCATCGATGTCTTCACAACGCCAGCCCTCGGAGGGTGAATTGGCAGACTCTTCCTGGCGCTCTGTCGGAGAGAATGCACAGCAAACTTGTGTGTGAGCTCCATGCTTCAGGTTCAGAGTAGGCAAGAATATCCATATACTTATCCTACATTGGCCCATATACATTGTCTATGCATTAACTTTCTTTTCCATTCACTAGCTCACTCCTTTCTCAAAACACACGAATATCACGCTAGTCCACTTTCTGTATTGCCAACGATAACTAAGGCCCCTATAACCCCTTGAACCAGCTGCCATGAGAAAGTCCTCCAGATAAATTAGCTGCGGTAAATACTGTAAACTATACATGTCTAAAAGTTGAAATTTACATGAAGCACACTATACAAAGATTTGTTTTTACAAGATTGTTGATTAAGATTAAATGTGATGAATTTTGCAAATGAGAGATTGTAGTAATCATGATTTCTGTATGACACAAGCTTGTTTGTGAGCTAATCAAGAATGCATTTCTGAAGGTGTGCTGCATATGAAACATTTTATGTTCAGACTATACACTGGGTGTGCACTATATATGGAAGAACTTTTTTCTCAGACAAAATTTGCTTTTGCAGTGTATAAATCGGGTTGGAAACATAAATCAGAAAATGCGTTAAGTTCATTGGGCTCACCTTCTTTCACCACAAAAGAATTGTTCCACTGTCCACCCGGGAGCAGATTAGGAGGAGGCATTAGGCCACAGTCCCCAGAGTGTGCATTTTTATCCGTCGGAGAAGGCAGTGTGTCCTCTTGTACTGCTGAGCAAGACAGCATAAATAGGGTATTAACGACAGAGCACGCACTTTCCGTAAAACAAAAAAATATAGCTCGCATTTGCCAATGCATTGTAGCATGTGCGCCTGCGTTCCGCGACTTCAGAAAATAAAGAAACTGGGAACAAGCCACAAAGTGGTTGCCCGTGGACTTTTAGAAGTGTTCTTTAGTAAGAACGGCCCTCTGTGTATTAGTCAGACATTAATTGTGATGCATAACAATGAATTTCAGTTTCTGCATGGGCAGTTCTAGATTAGATAAATCATAAATTGCATATATACGTTTTTAGTTTTCTTTTTTTGCTACATTATGGTTCTATGTGCCTGCCCCTTCCTGATTAAAGTTAAAATGTAGAGCCTGTCCTGTCTACTCTTTTGTCCTAGTCTCTTTTGCACTATTTTATTTTTTACCTAAAAAGCATAACACAAGGTTCCTCAAACGCATAATAATGTTGCTCAGCAGTGTGGTCAGAAGTATGTTATAGGAAAACATTTCGTAACAGTTCTGGCACACAAGAAAAAATAAATTTACGTTATGTAACAAAAAAAAGTGTTTAATAGTATGATTCAGTAGGCCACACACCAAACACAGCAAAAGGCCAACATAGTGAGTAAATTCTGTCAGCAAAAGAAAAACTGCAAGCCCAAAGGTGACTATGGGATGGAACACCATATTCCATCTGAGGGTAAACTGCAAGATGTTGTGGTGCGTCAAATGCTGAAAAAGTTGTGTGACGGTGACCGTAGACCCAGCTATGCATGTTGAAAGGCAGTGGCTAGCTAACAAAAGCAGACATCTGCATACACTGGGGATGTATTGCTTCTTGTTCATCATACTGGCTGTACAAACAGACGACAAGTATGTTATACAGAGCTCCCAGACTAGGCAATCTTTTTAAATCCTAATAAACTAGACATGTCCGGGCAAAAATGCTCTAACATTGCAATGCTGCAATAAAAGAATAACTGGGATGTTGTTGTTCTGTTTTTCTTTTTTAATCTGGAAATTGAGACAATCTACATGGTAAGTCAGTAACTAATAGTCGTTGACAGTTTAAGAGTTCAGAGCGAGGGAAAGGAAGGCTAGGGAGGAGGAAGCAGATGGATTGCTCGAGAGAGGAGGAGGAAACATCCCCTTTTCTCCAGAATTTCACCTGTTTTCTTTTCCCTCGCCCTCAACTCTTAACCCATGACCGTCTATATAGGGTGACTCAAGTCACCAGGCTCAATCTAAAATCGACAGTAAAAATCTACGCCTGCATGTAGCAATCTAAACTTTTCGTCAAAGGTGTATTTCACAGGTCGTTCTTTTTCTTGTAAAATTACAAAACGTAGCTCTTTCTTTGTAAAAAATAGGCTAAAGAAACTTGTCGGGGTCTACAGTGGGCGGTGACGCAGATGACCAAGTCTAGTAGCGGGGTGTGTTTGGCGTTCCTATTGATAGATAGCGCTACCTCCTTATCGCGATCCACATGGTTTATTAAAATGAACATAATCTTTCTGAAATGTACCTTCGCTTAATTAAGAAATGCGGACAATAAAAGCAAAACTTAAAGTAAAAAAAACGCGTTTGCATTATGACGGCGCTTTTGCTGCACACGGATTTCGTCTGCGTGTTGTCTGCTTTATTTCGCTAGTTGGCTGCACCATGGGACATTGCTCCCGACGCCATCTATCAATGCAAATGCCAAATACACCTTGCTACTAGACTTCGTCGTCTACGTCGCCACCCGCCATAGACCCTGGCAAGTTTCTTGCTTTGTAATTTTACAAGAAAAAACCGACCTGTAAAATACACTTTTGACGAAAAGTTTAGATTGCTATGTGCAGGCGTCGATTGTTACAGTCCATTTTAGATCGAGCATGGTGACTTGAGTCACCTTATAGAATGGGGGGATTTATCGAACTTCATATTTGAGTTTTCTGTTCAGAGCGCATATTCAGTACAAGCTCGAATTTTTAGGCTGCCAAGACCGACCGGCAGTACTGATGCTGTGCAAGTCACGTTGGAAAACACTGGAGGCTCGCCGTCAGGTTGCATTCAACCGCACACCGGACTCAGTTATGGCCGATTCATGAACTCATAAATACCATGGAGGTAAAAAGATGAGGAGGCGACATGGCGGGTCAAGCCCGCCAAAGGAGAAAATTCCAAGTGAGACCGGAAGTAGAGGTCGCGGTCCTTGGGAACGCCCTTAAGGGTGTCCTTTCCGTCCTACATGGTCTTTTGGTTTTGTTCATTTTTGGTGATCACTGGGGGCGTGCCCATCCAAACCGGAAGTCCCCACCCGGCTTCACCTCTGGTGGCATCATGTCGTTACCAGAAGCTTCCTACCTCCCTGCTATATACTCGCCAATCGGTACAATGCCAAATGCCACTTACCGGCACGACCGACTTCTAGTTTTCCTGCGCTCTCCGCAGCCGGCGGTCTTTCGAGCCGCAGTGTCGGGTAGGCACCCTCCCTGAGTCGCGCCGCTCGTCCCGCCTGCACTATCAGGTCCGCTGTGAAATGTCTGGAGCACACCGCATGGGAATTATGGGGATTGAAGCTGACCACGCCGATCATCCCCAACCACTTATCCCTGAGACTCCGGTCCCTCGGAAACCTGAAGAGCGACACAGCGTCGGCATTGCAGGCACCGCACTTGTAGACGCAGCACGTCTTCATCGCGTCTCTTTGGCACACAGCGTTTGAAGACTGCGGAGAAATAGACGGGGCAGAAGAGTCCACAGTCGGACAAACTGCAATGAACAAAGAGATAGCCGACGTGCTTATCTGCGCGCAGCGTACGAGAGATGTGTCTTTTGTTTATGGTTCCATTTATCGTCGATGTTGCACGCTGGACTAGAGGATGGTGTGGATGTGCGGTAGCAACGCGTCAACGGACTGTTTCTCTCACACCTTCGCAGGCACATTCTCACGGTATCCACGGGCCGAGAACAGCTAGCAGCCGGAGAAACATCACGAGATCGGTCGTGTTTAGATTTTTTGCATCACAACAATCAAAATCCAAATACTGGATTGGATTCGTCTTCGAGTCAAACATCTTTTCATTGGCAAACCAAGAACACGAATAAAATTCCTGCAACCGTGTTTTATGTAAAATCCAGTCGACATCTTAGGCTCTATTTTTCTTGAAAATAGGGAAAAAAAACGACAGCACACACGTAATAAAAATTATTTTCTATAAGTGAGTTTTTTGTTGTTGTTGTTGTTTTTTGTTTTTTTCTAGTTGATCAGGCAAACCACAGTGGGTTCCATTTTCGTTATCGCACAACGCGTCTTAGCGCACACGCTCGGTATGGTACTCCTCGTTTTGTTTCATCTAATGCCAAACGATGCGCGTTGAGTTGGTTGAGTCTACTTGAGTCGGTGCTCTTTTACTCCTACTCTGCGCTCCGGTACAGCTCCAGGTTTCATACTCCGAGTGCAGCCAGGAATTCGACACACCGAAACTGCGCGTCGCCACGCCGCAGTTTATGACGGCGCGGTTATCTGTTGACCTAAAGCATCTGTGTTCAAAACGGACAGCGCCCTTGCTAGATTACAAGACAAAAAAAAAAAAAAAAAATCACACGGGCAAAGACAGGAGAGAAAGTTGAGACAAGTTGAAAAATGTGAAATCTCGGGATCCTACTTTTGTTCCTTTTCTTTATTCCTTCTTGTAATGAGCCGCCGCAGGCTGTCGCCGCGAAGCGGTGTGAACTACAGGTTTTCCCGCTCATTTTAATCCAAGCGACGGCCAATTTAACCCAAGTGCCACCCAATTTAATCCAAGCGCCACATAATTTAATCCTTGCGCTACCGAATTTAATCCTGGGGTCAGTCAATTTAATCCACAATATGTATATGCACTTATTGTCTTCTTGAACGACCTCAAGGACGACGCCTGGAGGACGATATCTAGGATCACCTCAAGGACGACGTCTAGGACGACCTCAAGGACAACTTTTAGGGAAAACCTTGAGGACGATGTTTAGGACGACCTCAGGAACCACCCCTACGACGACCTCGAGGACAATGGCTTGGACGACCTCAAGGACAACTTCTAGGACGACCTGCAGGACGACCTTGAGGGCGACCTTAGAGATGACTTTAGGACGACCTCGAGAACGACGTCTAGGACGACCTTGAGGACGACGTCTAAGACAGCCTCAAGGACGACTAGAACAACCTCGAGGACGACACGTAGAGGACGACGTCCTCTCGGTGTTGTCTTCAAGGTCGTTTTAAAAGTCGTCCGGACGTCGTTCTAGGTATCGTCTTCGGGGTCACCCTAGACGTCGTCCTAGGCATCATCCTCGAGGTCGTCCTTGAGGTCGTCTTAGATGTCAGCCTTAAATTCGTCCTAGACGTCATCCTAGGCGTTGTCCTTGAGGTCGTTCTTTAGGTGTCCTAGACGTTGTCCTTGAGGTCATCCTAGACGTCGCCCTTGATGCCCTAGGCGTCGTCCTCGAGGTCATCCTTGAGGCCCTCCTAGAAGTCGTCCGTGAGGTCGTCCTAGACTTTGTCCTTAGGCATCGTCCTAGACGTCATCCTCTTTGCATCGCCCTAGACGTCATCCTCTAGGCATCGTCCTAGACGTTGTTAAAATAGCTTCGCTGGTCCTACATCTTCACGTGAAGTGAAAGAGCTCTACACTTTTTTTATTAATGTCGGAATCAAAGATTGCTCACCTCGGAAGTATTGAGGACACCCAAGGGAGCTGTCGGACGAGAAGGGCTCACTGGAAGAACTTCTGGTCCGACGCCGCCCTCTGGTGTCCGGGGTGATTGAAGTGAAGTATAAAGTAACTCAAAAGTAACTAGAATTACCCGAAAATGTAATCAAATCATCAATATAGCGAATAATTATTAAATTGGCTGTATAATGGCCCACAGTAATCAAAATACTGGGTCAATAGCAGCTCAAACCATTTTAAAGTGTAATCACAATGCAAATTTAGCTCATAAGAATGCAATTGGTTTGATACTAGCTCGAAGTAATCAAGAGTCATCAAACTGTCAATTAAGCTGAATTAATGTTTGTTACAAAACTTGAAAGTATAAAACAGAGAGGACGAGGACGGGAACAGGACATCTTTCATTTAGCAACAACATAGAATGGCACAACGATAAAACCGCCCCCCAAGGGTCTCAACGTTCTCAAAGAGGGAAAGGAAATACTAGTTATAAAGGAAAGGAAATACACTAAAAGAAAAGTTTAAAAAGCGCATCAGTAATCTAGTTATTTTCGATTACTTAGAATTAACCTTGGTCATTGTCAGTGATAATGCGGAATTATTCTTGTTTGCAGTCCAAAAAGGGAATTGTACTATAAATATAAAAGTTAAAAGGAACATTTCTGCACCTTCATTATCATTGACAAAGACAGAGGTCGAATTCTTAACACCAGAGATGACTAGAATATTGACACCTCGTCGTGACGCTACAGCTTTTTAAACTTTTATATTTATAGTACAATTCCCTTTTTGGACTGCAAACAAGAATAATTCCGCATTATCACTGACAATGACCAAGGTTAATTCTAAGTAATCGAAAATAACTAGATTACTGATGCGCTTTTTAAACTTTTCTTTTAGTGTATTCCCTTTCCTTTATAACTAGTATTTCCTTTCCCTCTTTGAGAACGTTGAGACCCTTGGGGGGCGGTTTTATCGTTGTGCCATTCTATGTTGTTGCTAAATGAAAGATGTCCTGTTCCCGTCCTCGTCCTCTCTGTTTTATACTTTCAAGTTTTGTATCTATTAACCAACACGCTCGTTTTCAACTGTAATGTTCGTTGGCTCAATAGTAACTCGAAATAATCAAGAGAAGTTGCAATGAAAATTGAGCTCATGGCAGATAAATTGGTGGCACAATAACAACAAGTACTTAAAATTCTCACCAATATGTCAATTGGACAAAGAGTAAGGGCGCAAACGAGCTGGTGTATTGCACATGGTTGAAAAAACCCGAGACTTTTTAGTGTTGTGTCGTTTACCCGCAGTCTCGGGGTTTTTTCAACCATGTGCAATGTCAATTGGGCAGATTTAAAGCCCATTGGGTTAGGAGTAAATAAAAGAAATGAATCATCATGTCATTTATGCCCACAATACACCAATTAGTTGAAAATTAGCAGAAAATAACCAAGTGCCATTACAATGTAAATTAACCCGAATAAAGAGTAATTGGGACAAAAGAGTAATAAAAATGTGAATCGAGCTCTTAAAAGACCAATTGGATGAAAGTGACCTCAAAGTAAACAGAAGAGTTACACCACATTGTGAAATAGGACAAACCCATTGGGTCAAGGTAACTCAAAGTAATCAGAGAGTAATCATAATATCCTAGGCTCATAATAAATAAGTTAGCATGAAGATAAGCTCAAAGTAATCAAAAGAGTCATCCCAATGTCATTTTGGTCGAATTCAAGTCCACTGAGTTAAAAGTAACTTGAAGTAGTCAAAAGAGTAATAATAATGTCCCCAGAGTTCAGTATAGATCAATTGGACGTATAACAACACGAAATAATCAAAAGAGTTGCCAAAATGTCCATTAGGCCGAATTAAAGTCCATTCGGTCAATAGTAACTCAAAGTAATCAAACAAGTAATTGTGATGTCAATTGAGCTAATAATAAATACTTTTTGTTAAATATTAGCCCAAAAAATCAAATCAGTCATCGCAACATCAATGAGGCAGAATTAAAGTCATTTGGATCGAAAGTAACCCGAAGTAATCAAGACTAATAATAATGTATGATTGAGCTCACAACTAATAAATTCACACTATAATTACACAAAGTAATTATAAGAGTCACGAAATGTCATTTAGGCCAAATTAAAGTCAATTGAATTGAGAGTAACTCAAAGTAATCAGAAGAGTAATCATAATGTCAATAATCATCACATAAAAATTCAATTTAATTGTTGAAGATTAGCTAAAAGTAATGAGGAGTCATCACAATTACATTTATTTCGAATTTATGGCCAATGGGTCAAAAGTAACTCGAAGTAATCAAAAGGGGAATAATAATGTCAACTGAGTTTATTATAGATCAATTGGAGCAATAATAACATGAAGTAATCAAAAGAGTAATCATAAATTGCAATTTTACTTATATCATGTGAACTGTAGCAATGTAGTCGAGTAATCCATTCAGCTAAAATAAATTCGAGCGCGCCACAATAACTCGAGGTTACAAAAAGAGTAATCAACATATTAACTAAGCCTCGTCAATAGTGGGACTAGTAATAGTAATCACAATAGTGAACAAATGATCAGTTGTCCCCTTAAAAATCCAACTGTATAAACAATCACACTAAGTTACCAAATGTGTAAGCAAAACACGACCACCGAAGACAATAAGTGCATATATATTTGTGGATTAAATTAACTGACCCCGGGATTAAATTGGGTAGCGCAAGGATTAAATTATGTGGTGCTTGGATTGAATATTGTGGCACTTGGATTAAATTGGCCGTCGCCCAGCTCAGCACAAAAGCAGAAGTGGGCTAAGCTCAATCGCCTTCTCTGGCGACTGCTTTTGGGAGAGATCCCGCCTTTAACGCCACTTCGTTCATTGCTAGTATTGTTGCATAACACTGTGCCCCGTGCTCTATTGAAGACGATGACATATGGATATGCCCCACAAGGCCTGTAGGCATGTGCACAGGCATTGTGATGGGTAAACTGAGGTGTGGGGACAACGTACGGGTCTCCTCGCCACGGGAGCCAAAGTTGCACGTCTGTTTTCCACGTGCTGCCGCGCCGCTATTCGCTAGGATCCGATCACGTGAGGAGCAGACTCAAATGCTGTGCAGAAAAGCAGGTGTTGCACGCGCCCCGGCATACACGTTCCCCAGAGTTGCGCGTCCATCACCGTAGAGCCGGCTTTCCTGCACAGCATTTGGACTGTGCTCCTCACGTGACTGAATTCGGCGAATAGTTGTGCCGCGCTCTTTCTCCTTTCCTGAAAAACAACAAAGGAGGAGGAGGCAAAAGCAGGGGAACGTACACCGAGGCGCTCTTGCACAGTCGGCA